CAACTACTTCATTTTGTAACTTTAAGAATCCAGTGAACTTTAGGGAAAAAAAAAATCTCAGACACTTTCCATTAAAGGTCAGTAAAGCACAGAAGTACCCAGCTGCACCGAGTACGTACACAGCAGGTTGAGAGCCTGGCTTAGGCAGGGCCAGTGTCGAGGTGGTGATGTGACACATGCAACGCAGAACCCTCCCTGTCACTTGCTGCCTCAGTTTGCTCTCTGAAGCGCTTTGTCTGTTTAAGCTCTCACTTTGCAAAGTTCGATGTACATGTTTATTTTTGTGCTATATTTTCGCAGCGTACGAAGTTAAATGCTTGTGGAAGTTCTGCAGAATGTAAACGGTAAGTTGTATTTACTCATTTATAGATTGAGCGCCCTCCTCTTGCTGTCAAAGTAACTGAAAAGCAGTAAATGTTCTTGAAAGCGTCAGTAAATACGTAAGTACAGACTCTGGTAGGCATAGCCTTACCTGAATAAAGTTCTCTGTCGCGGGGGTACTGGATGGTGACAGGACAAACCGCAGCTGGTCAGGAACTTCTGGATCTATATCGACCAACACCTCACGCCAGCCTTTCTCTGTTCTCTGTTTAATGAACCCAAAGTACTCATTTTACACTCTAATGGGTACAACGGTATCTTCTTTATTTGGTTGGACTAATGCATCAAACACTTTCACAATCCTTTTAAGAACATAATACGCTATTATTATTCATTCCTATTTAATTCCAGTAACTGCCTTGGAAAAAGCTTGTGGTAGAGACTCATCTGCAGAGTCAACAAATACAGGTTTAACTATACCTAAAAGGACTGAATGATGCCGTTAAGAAAAATGCCGCCTCTTCTATTGATAGTGCAACGTATCAAAATAAAATATTTTATTCTACCAACCAGTGATTTTCATAAGCTAATTATTAAATTGAAGTTGCAAGTTTCTTCTGAATCCTAACTAGCCTCTATTTTGCTATTTTCATTACCATTCAAATGAAAGCCCTTCAGTCTATTTTATGTACCCCTACTAACAAAACGTGAAAATTAAAAGCTTCATTAATCTAGAAGAAATAAAAAAACTTGACTTACCTCAGCAGAAAGAAATCTTTAGCTTTCTACAAGCTTTTCCAGTCAAGAACAATTACTAATTTTACAGTTATCAGCTGAATTAAGCCTTATTTGTCCAAATTCAGTTAAAAATGTTTTATCACCAGAGACGATGCATGTGTCTAGTTTGGCACCTTAATTCTGTTCTTCCTCAAAGAGAAAAGGTGTTTAAGCACATGGTCACAATTACAATAATCTTCTTGCTATACCTGAAACTTATGTATCGGCAGGGCGTCAAAAAACTCATGTGCTAGGTAAAAGCTGTAACCTGCAGGAAGGTAAAAAAGAATACATTAAATTATTAATGCTTCCACAGCAGCTTCTGCTTGAAAATGAAAAATCTGTATGAATATTAACGAATTAAGCTAGTTAATGTGGTTGTGAAATAATTGTCATTATTTCCAGCTTGGATACATCAAAGACAGCATTTCTACAGCTAGCTGTAGCTTCCAGTCCATGAATTTTAGATGGGTATCTCGCGAAAGGAGATTCAGGCAAAGCCAGTAAATGGTTTCCCATGGAAAAAAAAAAGTCAATATATGAAACTGGGTAGCTATCCCAAAACGAAGGCAGTCAGAATAGGTAGCAGTTATGAGAATGAGTCAAGATCCTGCCTCAGACTCATACAGGAAGTAGGAGCTAATACGTATATTAACTGCTTTTCTACCCATTGTGAAGGCTAACAGAGACATCCTCAGTTATCAAAAGCTGCAAATGGAGGAAGGACGCCGTCCCTGTAACAAGACGTTCAAGCTCCTTACCTGGCGGCACATCTTGAATGTCTCTGTACCAGAAAATGGGAATTCCAGTCTTGCTAACGCCTTTCATGTAAGCAGACTTGTCCTCGGGGTTTGACTGCACTTTCCCCCCTGTCAGCATCAGTGCTTGGATCTCGCTGAGTTTGGGACTCACTTCTACCAGATGAACAGAGACATCACATTTACTAAGTAAAGAGGCAAGCTGGTTGAAGACCTAGAAAGACAGATGAATTCTATGAGGCACAGTCACATCCTGTATACGTTAAAGGTTTAAGAATTAACCTTTAATCTCATTACTTGTATTAAAGATAAGATTTAGTTGGCTTTCATTTAACAAAATAGTCTCGGTGAAAGACGGCATTTTGCTCCTCCAGAAGGAAATGGGAATTTCTTCATCAATTTTAATAAAAGCTGCTATGCTTCTAATAAAGTTGGCAGAGTACGGCACACGTTATACAGTTGTAAGGACAGCAATGTGAAATGCTAATTTAGAATAGCGATAGCCTGAAAGTGAGTAGCTCCTCCAATACCTACAGCGGGTTTAGCATTAGGAGAAAAATGGTTCAGTCTTCCCAGACACCATAAACAAAAAGTACTCAATATCCTACATTTCACTGTGGTTATTAGAGTTCTTTTTCATTAACATATGTAAATAGGATAAAAATTCTTCTGAGGTACTAAATCCCATTAGCAATTTGGTTTTGAATCAGAAGATTTTAATGAATAGACAGCTATGCAAGCATGATAGATCAGAGAGGGTTAACTCAAAAGAAATAAGCTCCTGAAATCCCCAAAGGAACCGACACAACTTCACTCCTGTATTATTCTCCTCTTCCTTCCTATTCTCCTATTGCTTGCACTGAGGCCACCCTCCCACTGGTCCCACAGCAGCACCCTCCTAAATGGTTTTCAGTTTGGGTAATGGTTTCCTATACAGAAGTAATCTGTAACGGATTATTCCTGCCCTCCCCTTCTATCAAGTAGTGTTCGAAGGATGACACGTGTGTCTGTGCAGTGGGCACACACTGGCCTGTGTTCTGCTTTCAATTCGGAGACCTGGTCCCTTTGCTAAATAGCAGAAACTTGCGTGTATTCTAATGAGATTCTAAGCTGCAAATCTCCCGACTGAAATGATTTGGTTACTAGGGAAGGTTAAGCCCCGATAACGAAACCTCTGAAAATTCCTTCAGATTTCAGCGTAGCCGCAGAATAAAGCCAGAAGTAGAGAATATTAATACCAGTTTTTACCTACCCGTAATATATCATCAGTAAGAGTGCCCCTCCCTGGGCCCAGTTCCACCAGCTGGAATGCTTTAGGTTTGCCCGTGGCTATCCATTCGCTAATATACCATATTCCTATTAACTGACGGTGAGAAAAAACACAGAGTTACAGTAATAACTTCAGAACTTGTGAAAAGTGACATCTGCCTTTTGTCTGATAATAACTAAGATACGATACAATATTCTCTCTAAAGTTAAGAAAAATCAAACGTAACTTTGCCCTCTTCTCTTTAAGTATTAAAATCGGTGATTGTTTGCTGTCAGCCCAGCAGAAGCAACTCTCCATCAGTAAACAGGTGGGACTCCCTTCTGGTTGGTGCACAAACTTTTACTTACGGCTCAAATGCAGGCCGCTGCCCAACTGCCTCTGAACAGCTGTTCTTCATGACAATGCATTGACCAAAGTGCCCTCGAGAACAGCGTGTAGCCGATATTCGCTACTGGAAATGATACTCAAACCAGAGCGAACCAGAGCAAAATCTGAAAACGATTTTTGAGTAGTTTTCACGCTGGGAAACTACCATAACTCTTTTTGTTTATAAACAAGTTCTATACGAAAATAAGCGTTACTGAGCACAGATGGTGTTCCCAAATTATAACACAAGAAAGGACTCCCCCATCTTCCAGAAAAGCAAAACACCCCCTCCTCCTCCAAAACCAAGTTAACTGTAACGGGAGAATGAACAGGAGTTACTTAAGACACAGGGAACTACGCGTTACCTCTCCAAACACCTGACTTATTTCAGGGGAGGTGACGAAATCCCCGCTTTCCCCGATGCCGCCGCGGCGCGTGTAGTAACCCTGCGAGAGAGGGGAGAGGAGCCGGGGGCCCGCTGAGCGGCACGGCGGGGCCGCTTTCCGGCCGGCTGCGACACCGCGGGCTCCGGG